GAGATGTCTCACCGATACTAAAATATGCTATTTTCAGGGGTAAACATATCAACGACCTACCTCTCCCTGCGCCATGTCTCTCGGTCCCGAGACATGCCTTTCCAAAAAATTAAAAAAAGAAAAAAAAAGGTAAGTACCCAGCAGTTTGAAAGCGAAGCGTTTTAGCAAACAGAGGATTCATAAGTGATACGTGAGATACTTGATCACAGTCTCAGGATACGAAGAAAAGGCGTCGTTTTCGACGGAACATCTCTTCCCCGTCCGAACTACGTGGCTCGGTGCCTTACTTTGAACCTGTAGCCTTCCATGACTTGTGTAACGATGTGGACGGGAGCCCATGATGTTCGTCTGGACATACATTTGGGTGCAATCAGTCTGACGAGCCGATAGACCATGCTCTCAGTGAGCTACTCTTGCGTCTGTAATTGGTGTGAGCCATGCCGGGTGGTCAGTCCCTGCATATCATCCATTATATTCTGCGGTGGGAGAGGATCAGAGCGCGGGACTTGGCATCGCAAGATTCTCTCGTTGAGAGATGCCAGAGCTCGATAGTCGAGAGCCTGATATCTTGCAAACAATTTCGATGCGTTCAGCCTGGGCACGGTATGACTTCGTGTGTTTCCCGACGGCCTGGTGTATTGCCCATGATACTTGAGTACTGGCAATGAAATGGGTATGATGAGAGTCTGGTTCCCTAAGGGCTATGAACTGCTGCCTATGCTGTTGGCGCCGTCATGTTCAAGTTGTCGTCAGTTCTCATATTGCCGTATGAAGCTTATCGAAGCAGGGAAATAGTGGGCAGTCTGAATCTGATAATTGACGGCCATTAGGCCATAATATGTAAAGTTTATCGAGTGTCTAGTAGCCTAGTAACCCTACTACCCTTGATCCGAGCCGGCAGGAAGTATCGTAGATCTGTGAACGAAACGACCAGCACAAGAGAAGACTGGCGTGCCAATGATCCTAGGCTCCGGCGATGTTTACCTCATGTGATCGAATCCAACAGAACAGGACTTATCAACTGACTAATGATGTAGTTGTACCATATTGCTATAGAGTATGTATCTGCTCAAGTAACACGATCTGGCCGGAAGTCCAGATCTGCTCAAACTAAGCAGATAGTCCGTTGACTGATTGATGCTCATTATGTACACGGGAAATCGATGACAAATTAGGTGAATTATTAGGTGTCATTATCAAAGAGTGTATAGCCTATTAATCCTTGCGCCAGTACCACCTAGTCCCTAACATTATAGTCCCTTGATATGCTGATCCCAAGTGTCATCGCATTTTCATGCGAACCAGTTCGCCTCATCCTTGTGTCGAGTCTTGCTCGACCGAATGACGGGCCAGCTTCAAGTTACCCTGAGTCCAAGCATCCTCGGCTCAGCCAAGACGCCTTGTAAATTCGGGAATCCTTAAAAGGTAACATCGGGGTTGGCGCCAATGATGAGAACAGGGTTCAGCTTGGCCTGAATGTTGCGGATACGATCAGCAAGGCCGTTGGCACTACCAGCAGCGTTCGCCACGGCCGTGAGCGCAGTCGAGGCCGCGGCGCCGACGGTGCTGAGCGCGATCTGGAGCGCCAGGTTGGCCTGGGTGTAAGCGAGCGTGTATGCTGCCTTGGCGGCGGGGTCGGCGACGGCGTTGGCCTGGGCCTGGATGTTCTGCAGCTGGGTGGTAGCCTGGCGAGCGAGCAGTTGGGCCTGGACGACGACGTCCTGCGCGATCTGGACGACCTCGGCCGTGGGAATGGAGGGTGGCGCCGCGGAGGTCGCGGACGGGGCAGGGATGCCCGACGGGACAACGCCCAGGAGATTGCCGACGACGGTGCCGACTCTGGTGCGAATGCTGTTTGTGTTGCTTGTTATTTGGCGGATGACAGCGTTGACCTGGTCGGTTCTCTGAAAGGGGAAAGGGTGAGTATGGCTTTCGAGTTCTGGGAGGAGTTCAGTATGGGGGGATTGGACTTACATCCTTTACTGTTGTTCCGACAGTCCTGGTGAGGTCGCCAGTCAGGGTCGTTGTCTTGCCGAGGTCGGTGCTAACGATCTTCAACGCGGTGTAGAGCGGGTCCGTCAGTTCCCCTGGGTTGAAGACGACTTCGGGAAGAACGACGGTGCCCGGTGTGATAGTTGCGCGAGGGAGGATGGCTGCCTCGACTGAGGCGAAGGAGAGGACGGCAACCGCCGCCGTAAGAGCCTTGGTGTACATGTTGGCCTTTGAGCAAATTCTTGAGAAAGCAGACACTGCTAAGAATTACAGTGAGAGGAATGTGAGGAATGTGAGGAATGTGATTGAGGTTGTAGTTACGAGTTGTTGATGATCGAAGGATTTGTCAACTCTGGGTAGACGATATTGAGGCCTCTTATAGGAATTTACGAATGCTTCGGGACAGACGATGTCTACCAGACCGACTTAGTATGTTCGATATCTGAAGTCTCGCAATCCGCAAGTAATGACTCCGATGCCACGATGACGAGATGTTTGACCCTGAGGTTGCGAGTTGAAACCCTCATCCGGATCGACTTCTCCTCGTCAAAGGCAACTCTCGATGCCAAAGCTCCGATGTCCTCTCTCATCAAAAACGTGTTGTCCATGTCGATATCCGTTTTCAGGATTGGACTCGGTCGAAAGAAGCATTGGAGATCATCTCGGAGTAGTTGTTGATCTCATCAACGATTGTCCCCCGGATTGACGTCGGGTGCCAAGATTGATCAGCGCTCAGTGCCGTGGTAGAGAGGTCGACTTCTCTTCCCGGCGTGGATGATGTTCCTGCCAAGATGCTAAGGGATATACGGATGCTGGAAGCGTCAGATACCAAGCTTTCCTGGCGATAGGATCGCAGCAAGACATGAAATGTCTGTTTTGACAGTAACCAATAGCTTTTCACTCGTGGCAAGCACGACCAGACACGTTGATACAAAAATCCTACCCGTCGTCTTGAATTGAAGATCTTCATGGTGTGTTTAAGCTCAGGGACACTATTCTAGTTCGCGCCACAAGATGAAGTAAGTGGTGTGCTAGAAGACCCTGAACTAAGCGTCAGCAAAGATGAATACCTATTGATCTATGAGCTAGGTGTAGTAGTATAGTCTGTACGGAACCACAAGACGTAGCAAGAACCACTTCGTACCGCGCGTGCACTGTATGATCCAGGGAACCAGCCATTAGGCGCCATGGTTGAGCCTCACTCATGTAGACTCTTTCCTAGCTTTACGACAGACTTGAGGAACGCAGGGAATGGCGTCATTCCCGAGTCCGACAGTGTGTGCCTTCATTGAAGAAGTTTCCCCATCTACAAAAGCCGGACGGAGATGATGTCTCCAGGACCGGAAGGAGATTCGGAAGTGTCTCACATAGGAACCAAACGGTTGAAGGCAAGATCAACGAACCCCGCAAGCGCAGCTATATCCGGCTCCGACGAGAATAAGCAATGCCTTGTGGTAGTCCGAAAGACAGTGTCTCACACGCAGGATATTGAAATTCTTGGTCCGCAAACAACGGCCGACTTGAGAGTTCTTTACTCGGAGGGCTTCTTGCTCATCATGTCGCGATCTGTGCCACGGTCCGAAGGGTTGACCGGCCCGGTTCTGCCAGGCGTTATGCTCGATTCTTCTTGCCCCGCCCAACGCCAGTCCTACGCATGGCCAATTCGTGGGAGGAAACTTTGCTTGCGGCAAGAGAATAGTATCGAATCCTTTGAGCCTCATTTGAGGCGCCATGTCCAAATTATATCACCGAGCTACAAGCTCGTTTCCGTTTTCGACATATCCCCCTGATTACGTGCATGAAGGCTGTGCGTGGAAGGATAAGCTCACAGATGACGGTTGAATGAGCCTCGCCTCCTCGGAATCACGGATAGAGGGTGGAGAGAGGCGGACAGACTCGGTTCGACCTGGTGAGTTGGCTAATTTAGAAGTGTATCTGATGATCAAGATGAATCGATGCGCCTAAGATCGGCGTATCGAGGTACCTTAGCTACCGAGACTGCAAGCAAAACGTGAATTTTGGAAACTCATCAGTAGGGAGCTCGGTGTCCTGGATCTTTGTGGCAAGCTTGATTGAGGAAAGAATTTTTGAACGCTCTTCATATGCACAACAGAGCATTCTGACTCCTGAGAGACGAGGCAGCAGCAGTGACACATGCCCGGAGAATTGCTCCGGGCCGCAAGGAGCATGGCGGGCAGGCTCCTGCGAACGCGCTGAACTATAGGAAAGACCATTCCTGCTCTTTCAGAATGTCTAGCCTCTCATTAAAAAATCTGATGCTCTACACAGCATCTGGTGTGCCCTGAAGACTTCGCATGGTGTCTCATCTCGCAAGCCACGTTGGGAATGTGGGTTGAAGAGACCATTTGTCGCTGAAAAATTGCACATTATCTTCTTTCAACCACTGCCTTTACCATACAGCGTCGCGTATCAGCTTTCTATAAGAGATACTGGCAAGTTGTGTCCGTGTAAGTGAAAATCGAGGTTATGCGAACTGACCGCGATAGGACTCCGAGGGCTCGTAACCCCAGATCAGTCCACCAAGCAACGCTCGCGTGCATACCCCGCGGGAACGAGAAGACGTCTAGCCCAACTGATGTTGATCGTCAAGGCCTCTGTTCGTGCGGGAGTCATCTGCAATGCTCATTGCTAAAGGAGATCTCGGGTTGATAAGGAATTAAATCCTTAGGCTACCCCCATCGATCTTAGTCAACGGGAGAACACAGTAAGCTTTCTGAAGTAACCATGACAAGCTTTTGAATTATTTACGACAAGAGACCATGTGCGGCCCCATCAAGGCCGACACACTACCCTGCCTCCCTCGCAACTGGGTGCTGACCCAGCAGGCCTCAGTCTTGACGGATTCACCTCAAAGCGCCAAACAACATGATGCCCATTTTCAGGGTGTGATGTTCAAGTCGAGAGAACATTAGAAACATGAGCAGTAGACGTGGTAGACCGCGAACAAGCCCTCAGAACTGCAACTTGTGATTGCAAGTACCATCCTCATGGTCGATATGAATACTCCTGGAGAGATCGGTGGAGTGCTTTGGAGTGAGGCTCGTGAGACAAACCCGCTTGTAACGCAATACATGGTATGCCATGCGTACTGGTCAAAGACAGACAAAATTGAGGGTAGCTGAAAGTGCTCAACCAATTCTATGAGGCCATCGAAACATCCCGTGTAAAAGAGTTCGAGAGGCCGTTGAGGGGAGCGATGGCGAAGCGAGAAATAAAGTCAGTCAGCCGGCAGGTTGGAATAACCTTACTTTCCAATCGACCGATCCCTCGCATCTAAGTCGCTACTCCTCAGAACGAATTCACCACTCACAATCCTTCTTCCCCTTTTCGATCACTTCAGCGGACCCTGCCGCACACACCTCAGCCACTACCCATATTAGTTATGGCGCCGTCCACCAATCGATGGCCACACCCATCATACTTGACGAAACTCTGTGTCCCACCCAGCCACACTCGCAACCTCATACTGCTCAGCCACGCCTACGTCACCGCCCTCACAACGAGCTCTTGGCATACAACACCACACAGCACAAGCGACCCTTCCAGCCAAGTTTCCAAGGGTGATACCATTGTGTCACTGGTGCAATTCAAGAAAAGGTTGGGGAAGAAAAGCAAGCCAAAGGGGGAAGGGAGACGAAGGCCGGGTGTGGTCTGCTGCCCCTTCGTCACTGGTTCGTACGTGGAGGGAACCGACGTCTAACTAGGTATTTAATACAAGCCCGTTCCTTCTTGGCCGTTCATCCATAGTCCGTGATCCATATCAACCACACAAAATACAAGCTCTCCACTGCGAATAACTTCGACAAGAAGCACAAGGTACATTGACACTCCTCAAGTGGCAAACCGGCGGTCTGCGCACCCTCGGACCTTGGACTAATAATCTCTGCAGCAATTTCAAACCCTACACAACCTCCTACAAAGTACCAAACAATCATCATGCCCTTCTTCTACTCCAAGCCCATCGGCGGCCGCAACTTCGGCACCTCCGTCCACGCAGACCGCCACGGCGTCCACCGCGGTCCCTGGCGCATGCGCATCGGCCGCTTCAACTGCTTCCGATAGAGTCGACGCCACTCTCACGGCGTAAAGGTGTCGGTGCGATGAGCCTTCGGACAGCAATGTCGAGAATTTCGTCCTCGCTCTGGTACTCTCCGCGTCTTCCAGGATACGACCTGAGTTGTCATCAGAATGAGACGACCAACTGAACAAAACCCCATTCAACGCCTTTTTTCTATTCTTGTTCCTCTTTTCAACTGTCACGAGATCATGGATACCAGGAGTCTGTATTTGCGTTTATAACGGTTTTGACGACGGGAAAGCGAGCGTTTCCTGTCATTCTGTCCTTATTGAGTTTCTCTTGCGCTGCAATCACAAATGGAGATTGATCGTTTTGCGGGTGGGTGGAATGATGCAATGCATACCTAGATAATACATTACTTCTTCACAAGCTATTGTTAATCAGTGAGTTGTTGTGATATGCATCTGGTGTAATTAGTAGTCAGACCGTTTCCTTGGTGCTTGTCAGTCCAAAGTGTATCAGTTAATCTGGTGCTGTCGTTGGCAGGCAAGCTCGAGGGCAAAGCTTATATCGTCATGACCCAGTAGGCACACCCGCGTCTATTTATCATCCGGCGAGTTTGACTGTGGAAATGGATGGCGGGAACAGCGGTTTAGCAGATGGTCAGACCTACCACGGGGAACGATAGACGACTAGACGACATGTTAGATAGGCCGGGGAGTCAAACTTAGATTGGGAACAATTCTCCTAAGTGAAGGTAATGCAGATAACCAAGCAGACAGAAGGACTCAGCCGGCAAGAACAGCCGGACAGCAAAATAAGCACGAACGTCACTGGCGCAGAGTACAGTGCAGGGGCCAAAGGGGTTGGTGATATTCTCGAATTACCGAGCATATGAAGGATCCTGTTTTCCATCCCACCCAACGCCTTATTCTTGTCAATCGACGGTAGTAGTAAGAAACACACGCCTGAGTGAACGTCAAGTCGTTGAATTTTGCTGCGGTTGTTTTTTTGTATTTCCTAGCACAACGGTACGAGCCATGCCAAGCCGCCAGCCCTGAATCATCGCAGAAACCGTTTCCGATGCATTCCCGTTCCCTGGATATGAGAGCACAACGCAAGTAACCAGGCGATGAAAACCGAACCCCCTCGCCCCGAACAGCTGATTTTTCCTCTACGCAACCCACTGAGAGAAAAGTTTTTACATCTTCTTCTTCGCTTAGACCTCGGTGGTGACCTTGGCCTTGGGGTTCGTGACCTTGACACCGAGCTGCTTGGCGCGGCCGATGATGTCGATGCGCTTTCTCGAGGAGACGTTGTGGGCGATCCTGTAGTGAGTCTGTCAGCTGGCTGTGTTTTCCATCGGAAAGATGCCCTTCGCTCGGCTTCTCGGTCGGAGCTGGTAGGCGGGTGTGGGGTGGTACGCACTCGGCAGCGTAGGTGCGGTTGTGCATCAGCAGGAGGTTGACGTCGTTGACGTTGCTGACGAGGAAGGCCTTGTGGCCGGAGGGCATCATGTACTTGGTCTTCTTGTTGGAGCCGAAGCCGATCTGGAGTGCAGGAATGCCAGGTTAGCAGCTGTAACCCTGGGTCTCTAGAACCATTTCCATCCCGAAATTCGCTCCTCTTCTTGTTGATGTCTATTTTCGAACCCAAGTCCAAATCCAGCAGGGAGGTGTCTCGACGTACCGAGGGCATGGCAGTGTTACCCCTGAAGCGACGGCGGACGCGGTTGTCGATACCCTTGGGCTTGCGCCATGATCGATCAACGCGCATAAAGCGGTCGCTCTGGTGGCGGTTGAAGAGCTTCGTGCCTGTTCAAAATAACACCCGTCAATCCTCTCGTTTCCAATCCAAAGTTCTCGTTCGGTTGTAATCATCGTCGAGGTTGTCGGGTACGCGGGGTCGTAGAGGGGTGCTGTGTCCTCGGGGAAGGAAAAAACATACGCTTCTTCACGATAGGAACGTGCTTCTTTGCGGCGACCATCTTTATGAAACCAAATGTCAGTAATTGAATCACAATACCGACAGCATGTCGATGAAGGATGCCGTAGCAATCAAATCTCACCTTGACGGCTGTTCCTGGCTATTGGGTTAGTCGGGGCGGGTGTACGTCGTCAAATTCGGGCTTCAAGGCGATCGTGAAATTTGGGTGACCACCATTTCGAATCGCACTGGACGTGGGCTCTTTCCGAAGCCCTAAGATTTTGTTGGTCACGTGTGGGCCGCCTAGCGGGGGAAGAAAAAAAAATGCAGGAGCGGAGACCTGCTACTGGCCCAACAGGTCGCGCTAGCGGAAGGGACTCTTTTCGGTCTGCAGCCAATGCAATTGGCCTACCTGCGCAACGGAACTCCAAAAAAAAAAAATAGGTGTCGAGGAGAGCACGGACCAACTGTGGTACAGTTGACGAGGCGGCATGTCCTGCATCGATCTCCCACGTCTCTGGAAACACCATTGTTCAAGAGAAAAAACAAATGCCAAATCCAGCAAAAGAAATTTCCCACACCGAGGTTCGAACTCGGGACTCTCCGGATGTCATTGGAAACATGAAAGCGGAGTATACTAACCACTATACTATATGGGATGTGGTTGTTGTTTGATGACAGGGGAGAGCACTAAGCTGTACATACACGTCTAGCGGGGCAGACAAAGCCCATTATAGCAGAACTAGAAGCGGTTTGTGCTTTCCATGAGTCACCACTGTTCGCTATACGACTGCACCATGGTTGAGAAGCGATATAGCAACCGTGTATTACGGGTTGCCTTTCATTCATGAGGGGGATGATGCCCAAACAACCAAGCAAAACTCCTCTCCAGTTCCCACGTCTATGCTCACCCCCCCACACCGTCCGGGTCGTCATGTCTGTCATGAGCTTCAGGGCATCAAGCCCAAGACTCTGTCCTCTAAAATCTCTATCCACCTCAACACCTCTTACTGAGGCTGGCACTGAGGCTGGCCATCTTCTTCATCTTCGTCTTCCCATTCGCCACCGAAACGCGGGTCTCCCGAGTTGGCGCCCATCTGTAGACATTTGTGTTAGCACCAGGTATCTGATGATGAAACGACTTGTGAAGACTTACCGAATCCAGGCTATCCACCTCTTCGTACTCAACCTCATCGACCTCCTCGGCTGTGATGGGGGGAGGAGGAGGAGGAAGGAGCTTGTTCAGAGCATCGTACTCCTTATCATCCTTCAACCAGCCATCCTCAGGGAACTCAACATTGACAATCAGGTACAAGTCACCCTTCTCTTCGCCGCGCTTCTGAGGCATACCCTCGCCAGCGACCTTGAGGATATCGCCGGGGCGGAGGATTTCGCCGCGCTGTCTTTCCATATGAATACCGCGGCCGTCAAGGTGCGTCAACACAACACGAGAAAAGCCACCGAGAGCCTCAGCAAGAGAGACATTCAGCTCGGCAGAGAGATCGTTGCCGATGCGAGTGAACTCGTCGTGGGGCTCCTCGGCCAAGTGGAAAACAATGTCTCCGGGGGTCTGGTCTGGGAACTGGTCCGCCTCGCCCTCCAACACGATCCTCTCTCCATTCTGGGAACCTCTGGGAATGTAAATCTCGAGGACCTTGGTCTCGGAGGTAGTGCGCTTGCCCTTGCACTTCTTGCAGCGGTCCTTCTCCTTGCAGAAGTTTCCGGATCCCTCGCAACGATCGCAAATAACGGTCTCTTTGCGGACCATACCCGGTCCGACCTGGCGGAAGGCCTCTGCCATACCGGCGCCTCTGCACTTCTCGCACTGCTGGGGCTTGACGTTTGCCTTGGCGCCGGATCCCTTACAGGTGCCGCAGACAACCTGCTTGTTTGCGGAGAACTTGACAGTCTTGCCCTTGTACAACTCCTCGAGCGTGACCTTGTAAGGCTGGTCCTCGTCGGGACCGCGACGCGGTCTTCTGGGACCGGCACCAGGGCCACCGGGGCCGCCCATGCCCATGCCGAACATTTGTGACAGAATGTCGTTCAAGTCGACCTCGACGCCGCCGGGACCGCCGGGGCCGCCCCGCGAAGGGTCGAATGCGGCCATGCCATGGGTGTCGTAAAGGTGGCGTTTGTCCTCATCTTTGAGGATTTCGTAGGCCTGGCTGACAGCCTTGAACTTGGCTTCCGACTCCTCTCTGCGTTCCTCGGGGACTTTGTCGGGGTGGTGAAGAAGGGCGGCCTATGCAAGACGGGTGAGTCAGTAAGGAGTGTTGCCGCTGGCGTGTGATTGTAGTTGTCGTTGCGACCAGGGAGAGGGGTTACGAACCTTTCGGTATGCCTTCTTGATCTGATCCTGCGAAGCATCCTTATCAATGCCGAGGAGCTCTGGAAAATGCGTCAGATGTGATCCACTGCGAAAAAAGTACCCCTGGGCTCCATAGGCAGAGTCTTACCGTAGAGATCAATATCTTCCTCCCCCGCCATGCTCGGTCCACCACTGTCCATGATTGAAGCTTCTTCGAAGGGCCCTCGGGCAAGTCTTGCTCGAGATTCGGCCTTCAGAGGAGTGATTTGCAGTTGTGAGAAGGGTGGGATGTGGAGTAGAATTGAAAATATTTTGTCTGGAGTACGGTGTACCTGCCGATAGCAGGCCTTTGTTTGGCGGGGTACCCAGCATGCCCGCACCTCAGTGCCTTGCTGGGCGTGCGGCTGCTTTGCAGGTTCACAGCGCTACGGGTAACCTGCTGAGAGCGCGCGGCAGATGGTTGTTGGCAGTCGGCGGGGGTACCTTGTACACTACCTAGGTACGGTATAGAGGTAAGCAGCCCAGGCCCCAGTCTCCTTTCCCAGCCGCCTATCCGCCTGCACCTGTTCATCAGCAACCTCCACTGCTTTCCAGGTTTTAGAAGGCGGTGTCCAGCTGCTTGCCTACCTAATTATCTAAGGTAGGTTCCTCGAGACCTACCGCATTTCCTTGGATCCGCTGGATCGTTGAGTACTGGCTTGGTTGCCAAGGCACCTCAATACTTGCCGAGACTAAATATACTTGTGACTGGGACTCTCACCAACTGAGACGGAGTTCACCAGTCATTGAACAGGTTTAGTATATTGTTGCATTGTATAACGAACCCGAGTTACATACTCAGCCCTTATGTGAATAATAACACTTTGTTGGGCTTTCACAAGCAAGTCATTTTGATCGGCGTCAACCCGAGGCTACCGAATAGCAGACTCCAGAGGGACTGAGAGGACTGAGCTCACTCGCAGCAAACAAGTGCCTCATCAAACTCTGCCTCTACAGCTTACCTCTGTTCGCTATACTCCTCGGACGGGCACTCGGACAAATTGCTCAAAGTGATATGTACGTTGTCATCCGAGGAGTCTGTGAAACCTAGCGACAGTTCGAGATTCTTGGGATGAATATCGCCCACTCTGTTCTTATTTCACCATACCTTTTTGGAAATTCTAGTTCCAATGAAGCATGTTCTTGAAGGAACATCATAGTCGATTGATTTTCGTGTTTGTCTACGAAAACAGAGTGGAATTGGTGGAGGAATACAGAGTGAACCCTCTCTCATGGTTAGGTTATGAATAGAACTGAAGATACGCAGAAGCCACCGTCGTATAAGTCATTATCTCGCTTGATGCATATCTCTCAACTGCGCCACACGTGGCTGAATCTCATCGACAAATTTCACCCTTCGATCAGTTCATCCATCAACCGCTAAACATATGAAGGCAACTTGAACAAATGTCTTCATCATGCCATTGATAGCCCTGAGATCCCCGGGCCGGCCCCTCTTCCAGCGCTCGTTCGTTGCATGCCGCGCGGGCTCGCACCTGAGATGGTGCTCGTCCGCAAAGAGTAGTGGTAGTGGCAGCAGCGGCTTCCAGGCGTTGAGGAAGAAGCTCCCGCCCCTGGCCGACAAGAAGCTCCACGGGCTGCCCGATAAACCGGCCAGGACGCGGTTCGCCCCCTCGCCCACGGGATACCTCCATCTGGGATCGTTGAGGACTGCACTCTTCAACTGGCTCATTGCCCGTGCCACCGGCGGTCAGTTCATTATCCGGGTTGAGGATACGGACCGGGTACGTTAAAAGCTGCTGTTGAGTACGATCAAGGAACCATCCGCTAACGTCACAAAAACAACAAAAGACTCGCATCGTCGATGATGCCGTTCAGCGTCTCCTAGCAGACCTGAGATGGGCGGAGCTAAACTGGGATGAAGGCCCTGATGTCGGGGGACCATACGGACCTTATGAACAAGTACTTGACTCTCCTGCCTCCCCTGAACAGTGGCACACCGATCTGACACCTCGATTTAGTCAAAACGTCTGGATTACTACAAAAAGTACATTGCCGAGCTTCTGGACGCGGGAAAAGCCTACCGCTGCTTCTGCACGGCTCACGACCTCGAGCGCCACAAGCAACAGTCCCTGGACGAGGGCGGCTCGGCGCACTACCCGGGCACCTGCCGGAGCCTCCCGCCGTCCCAGGCCGAGCGGCGCGCCGCCAACGGCGAGACGCACGTCGTGCGCTTCCGCAGCGAGGGCCGCCCTTCCTTCGTGGACAAGGTGTACGGCAACTACCAGAAGAACGAGGACGAGGACGACTTCATCCTCATCAAGAGCGACGGGTACCCGACGTACCACTTCGCCAACGTCGTCGACGATCACCTCATGGAAATTACCCACGTCATCCGCGGTGCTGTCCGTACCCCCCCCCCCCCTTTCTCTTATCCCTAAAAATCCTACCGATTCTTTCTTAGGTCACCCTTCAAGACGTATAACTGTAGCTCACACCAGATAACAGGAATGGCTCATCTCCACGCCAAAGCACATTGCTCTCTACGACGCCTTCAAATGGGAAGCCCCGACGTTCGCCCACGCCGGCCTCCTCTGCGCCCAGAACGGCGAGAAGCTCAGCAAGCGTAACCACGACATTGACATCTCCTCGTATCGTGACAAGGGCATCCTCCCCTCCGCACTCAACAACTGGCTTGCGCTGCTGGGCTGGAGCATGAACGAGAAGGATCTCGCAAAGGGGGGCGAGGT